AAAAACCAAAAAAAAAAAAAAAAAAAAAAAGACCCTATCTCAAAAAACAAACAAGAAAAGTATGAGTTAGAATTCTGAATGTGAAGTGTTTTGTCTCAGCATGTGATTTCTGTCCCCTGAGGGAAACTTTGCACACATTGAGTTTAGAGTATATATTACAGTGTGCTATTGGGAAAACATCCAATCAGCAGTTTTGGTAGTTGTGATCATTTTCTTTTTCCCAAAGTAATGGTTTAAAAAGATATTTTTGAATAGGTGTTACAGACTTTTAAAAAAGCTGCCTCATGCAAAAATCAAGCTAACATTGTCAGAGGAGGAGTCCATCCCCACCAAAAGACAAGACAGCTCATAATTTACAGGATACTAATTAGCTATTCTTAAGTTTAAAAAAATTAACTAGTACTAGAATGTGCAACAGCGCACCGCTTCCCCGATGTCAGAGGAGCCAGAGTCCCTGCTGCAGCTCCCTCTGTCGGCTGTGGCTGCTGGCGGGGAAGGACCTGGGGAACTCTCTCCCGAAATAGCCACACCAGAGCCCCGTTCTTCTGCTGCAGTTTTGTCAGGGACAGAAGAACCTGCTGGCGAGACCAAGAAAAAAATTGATACTCCGCTAAAGGCTGTGGGAGACACCCCTATAATGAAACAAAGAAGTGGGCTGTAAAGCGAACGCGAACGATCCAAGGACTCACTGACTTCATCAAGAGCTTCCTTAAGCTTGTGGCCTCTGAACAGTTGTTTGTTTATGTGAATCAGTCCTTTACACTTTCTCCAGACCAGGAAGTTAGAACCCTTTATGAGTGCTTTGGGAGTGATGGTGAGCTAGTCCTGCATTACTGCAGGTCTCGGGCACGGAGTGAGCCACAGAGAAACAGCTTGCTGCCCAGAATGGTTTTTTCACAAAGGAAATGGCTCTAGAAAGTTTTGCTGCCAGTGTGGGATGTGCACAGCCAACTCTGTCAGAGCTAAGAGTCTGATGAACAAGAAATTTGGGGTCTCTTCAAAGTTATTAATAGATAAAGCAACTAAATCCAACTCCGGAAGTTTTGTCCAGTGTAATGACGCAGTAACTGCCACTTAGTCACTGCGTTACATTACAAGCCTTTTCCAAATGTTTGTTAAGATATTTTGTGTTCAGTATAGCCAACACAGGCCATATAAATCAGTGTTTGAGGAGCATTAGTTTGGGAAATACTGAACTTCTCTGGTAACAAGCAGTCAGTAAAGGAAAGTAACAGACATTTGGTAGTAGCTTCAAACTGGACAGACGAAAGGAAGTGTAAAGTGATACAGAGACGTTAGCTCCTAGGCATACAATGCGGCTGAGTAACTATTAATAATATGAAATATAAGTCCAGTGTGACTCTGGAAGGGTAAAGTTGTTACAGATCTTAGGACTGGGGTGAAGGGGCAGGATACAAGGAATTTGCAGTGTATTGTGATACATGCTATGAACAATAGTTTTTGCAGTTCCATGTGATCAGAGCATGTTTATGGCAAAGAAGGCTAATTATAGCCTAAAGTCAAGAGATTTGAAGGGTAGACTTACAGCCCTGCCAGGAAGAGTACTTTTTCATAAATTAATCAGTTCATAAAACTGATTTTACTATTAGACTGAGAGAGAATATAGGAATGATTGAAAAAGTGCTTGTTAAAGCTAACCAGTTCAAATTTAATTACCAAGGCCCAATGATCCTAAGAATTTCTTCTTTTCCTTTTTTTCCTTGGGTATTAGAGATTTTAATTTTGGGTTTTATGCATGCTAAGCTCATTCTCACTGAACCATACCCCTATCGTGAGAAGCAGTTTTTAAATCAAGTAGTGATATTATTGGTAGCTTAAAAGTTTATGCTTCTATAACTTTAATTTGCTTTATGGTCTCAGGTTGAAGAATTTAAAAGTATACCCGCCAAGAGTGAGAACATCATAACTGCAACAACAACTAGAAACAATTCCCTGGAAAAGGAAAAAGACAAAGAAGAGAAGAAATTAAAGGAAATTATGGATAGTCTTAAACAGGAAACACAAGGGCTTCAGAAGGAAAAAGAAGTAAGTTTTTTTCTTTGTGCTGGTTTTGGTGGCTTTTTTAAAACTTACAGATTGTTTTTGCAGTGGTACAACAGTAAACTTCTAAAAGAGTAAGTTTAGCCTTTGATTAAATCAAACATCCCCTAAACTATTCAACCTAGATGCCGTTTCCATTTTTTGCTTTTCCACTTAAAAAAATAAAAAGTGGACTGATTCAGAATTTATAATAGTGGGAAATATGTCAGGTACTTTGACTACTCTTAAACCTGTAGAAGCTTCGCATTTTCTTCTGGATCCCCTAAGTTATTTTCTTGGTAATTAATGTGCTGGCCTCTTAAAAACCTCGGAGCACACTAAGCGTAGGTTACCAACATTTACCTTTTTCCTTTGACATGGTGTAACAGTTGAAAGCTGTCACTGTGCATCCGTGTGCAGTTCATATCCTAGATAAGTCACTCTGTTCTTGCACAAGTTTTTAGATCTCCCAGCTCATTCCTCAAAGTGAAGAGGAAAATATTGTATCTTGAGTAAATGAAGATATATAGAAAATTTCCCTAGAAAATGAGAAATTTATAAATCTCAGCTATTGTTTTCCTGCTTCATTAATAAAATGAGAACATGAGGATGGTTGTAACATTGGTATGTTGGATCTACCCAACAAAAGTATAAGCATAATGTTAGCCATCTTTGTTTATATTCAGCATAGCCTTTTGACAGTATTGAGAATGTTAAATATGTATTTTAATAGATAAGGTAATTGAATTGACTGCATAAAAAGTCACGGACTTAATAGATTGTTCTTTGGAGTATAAATGTGTACTAGTAGACTTTGAAATATAGACATGTTCTAATGTCACTTCAAAACTGCAAGAAGGCTATGTTCGTGATAAGGGGCAGTGGATAATGCAGTCAGTTTCATGATAGTGTACTTAAAAAACAGTGGGTTTGCACATTTAATGTATACTGGGCTCCTCTGTGTTTCTTGCGCTGTGTTAAATACAAAGCTGGAACTCAGCTGTTTTCATTCTTTATTCTTTTGCTTAGTGTAAAGATTTTCAGTTTAAAATACATTTGAAGTAACTTTCTGGGTAATTCTTATCTGGTAATAGGAAAGAGCATGCAGTATGAATGTTAGACCCAAGATTTTTGTTTTTAAGTATTATTTTTTGGGGGTTTGAATCTTTAAAATGAGCTCTTATGACATCAAGACTCTGTACATTGTATGTTGACAATTAGGTATACGCTACTGGCTGTCCCACTTGTGTGAACTTATTTTTGTATGCTATGCTTATAGAATAAACTGACTTCCAAATGTGTAATTTCCATTTCCGTTTAGATTTGGAAATATATTACAGATTTAATGGATTCCTATTTTAACAGAGTCGAGAGAAAGAGCTTATGGGTTTCAACAAATCTGTAAATGAAGCACGTTCAAAGATGGAGGTAGCCCAGTCAGAACTTGATCTCTACCTCAGTCGATACAATACTGCAGTATCTCAATTAAGTAAGGCAAAAGAAGCTCTAGTTGCAGCTTCTGAGACTCTCAAAGAAAGGAAAGCTGCAATTGGAGATATAGAGAGAAAACTCCCTCAAACCGAACAAGAATTAAAGGAGGTAAGTTTTTTTCTGTATTGCCTCTAAACATTTGTAAGCTAGACGTGGTAACACACACCTGTAATCCCAGCACTTGAGAGGCTAAGGCAGCAGGATCATTGCAAGTTTGAGACCAGTCTGGGCTACAAAGTGAGCTCAAGGCCCATCTGAACTGCACAGCGAGACCCTGTCTCAAAAAGACAAAAATAAACATTTGTTTGTCAGTCCTTTTGTCTCGTTTTGTTTTGTTGAGATGAGGGATTCGGGGTAGTTTAAGCTTGTTCTTGAATTTATTATGTAGCCCAGGCTGGCCTGGAACTCATGACAGTCCTGCCTCAGTCTGCTGAGTGCTGGGATTATACATACGCATCACCTTGCACAGCTGTCAAACCCTCATTTTATTTTTGTTGTTTTCAAACTTAACATCTAAAGTGACTGATCTGTAGTTATCTTTTTCTCATTTAGTGTAATCTGAACAGAATGGAGCCAGCATTTCAGCATCTTACCTAGCATGTCAAGGCCCTCAGTTTGTCCCTACTGCCACACAAGAAACTGTCCTACTTCAGAAGCCTCAAACAAAAATTAGCCACTACTGCATTCCCATGGAAATAATTTAAGCAAAAGAAACTTTTCCAAACCTGTAAGTGTAGGCAACTTATGTAAGGATAAAAAATATACTAAATATGCAAGCTCTCATTTTTGTTTTTTCATTTCTGGATGTAGTTCCTTCTCTATTGGGATTCCAAATTGCTGTGAATTAAAAATGAACCACCTAGTTCACCTAGCTCATCAGTGTCCCTCGCACCAATTGGAGTTAATTAGATGTCTTAGGACTTTATGCATAAACCTGAATCTCCAAAGCTTCCATGGGCAAGATGCAACAGAAAATCCAATTTGTTTTAGCTGGCTGCAGTGATACCTGCCTGTAGTCTAGCTTCTCGGGAGGCTGGGTAAGAAAGATTCCTTGATCCCAGGTTGAGGCCAGCCTGAGCAACATGGCAAGATTTTGTCTCAGAAATAAGAAAGTACTGTTTTTGTAGTCACAATATTGAAAATGAAATCTTTTTCGTGGTAATAAATGCATGCTATTTTCTTATCAGGGGATATCATGACCGTGTAGAATGTAAATTATATCTACTAACTACCTCCATCTTTCTGCTGTCTGGGTTTATTTTTTAATACGTTGCATCAATAACAAGCATTTACTTTATGCCTGTGTAACAAGTAACAGAGATAATTTAATTTAAAGCCAGGAAATGGTGGGAGATACCAGTTAGAAAAGATGGCTGCTGCTAAATTGGAGGCTGAGAAATGGAATTTGGATTTGGTTTGTCTCTAATAGGCAGCCTTGACATTTCTGTGTGGCATTAAGACCATCCAGTCACTTTTCTCCCCTTTATTTAGGTAGTGCATTTTTGTGTCATTTTTCATTTTTATTTAATCAGAAAGCAAAGAATAGCATAACCATAGCCTAGTCACTCCTATCTGGTATCCTGTTCCTAGACCTGCTGTTGGCTAGAGCAAAACTTAGAGTTAGGACACACTTACGCATAACTGTGGGGCCAAACGAGGATTTCCTTCGCTGTATCTCTTCATTCTCCATCAGGAGGAGCTCTTCTGGAACCGTGTTGCTTTTGCATCCCCCGTTACTGACCCACATAATGTAAAGCAGGGAACCCGTGCATATTTTCCAGAGCCAGCCCAGCACTTGCAGAGTGGAAGTCCAGTCCTCGCTCATGTTCACTTTTGGCCTTGTCCTCCTTGATTATTACGGAAGCATTACAATTGATTCTCTGCTATGATTGGATATATTGAAGATCTAATGTTGTTGGGTTTCTTTTTTGTTATATTATAGAAGGAAAAAGAACTTCAGAAACTTACACAAGAAGAAATAAACTTCAAAAGTGTGGTTCATGATCTTTTCCAAAAAGTTGAAGAAGCAAAGAGTTCTTTAGCAATGAATCGAAGTAGAGGGAAAGTACTTGATGCAATAATTCAGGAAAAAAAGTCTGGCAGGATTCCAGGAATATATGGAAGACTGGTAATGTAAACTTGAGAATAACTACATTTTTCTCAAGACAGACACTGCAAATTATATTCTTACCTTTTATCTGTTGAGTGTCACCATACATAAAATAACTTCCATTTTTGTTTATGGAACACTCTTGGTTTCTGTTGTCCTTTGGGACAGAGTCGCTGTGTAGTGCAGACTAGCCTTGAGCTCGCTTACTTAGCACAGGCTGGCCTCAAACTCAAGGTGATCCTCCTGCCTCAGCTTCTGGAGTCCTGGGATTATAGGAATGCGCCACCATGCTTAGCATGAGACACTTCATTTTTAAACATTTTTGCTCTTTCACCTCTGGTTTATTTAGTTTGGGATAAGAAGCAAACTTAAAACTACCTTATCTTTTTTTGAAAAATAAGAACTTGATATATTCTGGGTTTATTTCACATACTTAAGGTTTCCATTATGATGTATGGAAATCAGCAGGGAGAATGAGGAAAACTTTTACTCCTGCGCCTCAAGTAGTAAGGGAACTATGATCAAAAGGAAATAGGAAAGTAGCAACCCTATTCATCTCCCGCCCTGAAGTCGCAGCAGATAATCTTATATTGGCTAATGCCAGAGAGCCAGAGCAGCTGACATAGTCAGTTCCAAGTCAGCCTTCCTCGCAAGGAAACATGGATAATAGTGGGGGGCAAGTAAAATCAGCCACCAGAGTTGTCTACTACTGTGTGACCTCCACCCTGTTTTCTTGCAGAAACACAGTTTGATTCTATTCATTGGCTACCAAGGAAAACCGAAGCCAGTCAGTGAATGCTGCTAGGTAGCTAAATAATAGATTAATGTGGAGACATGTGTTTCGTCAGTGCTTACATTATCTTAGATGGCTTTTAGTAATTGGAATGCTTGGGGCTGCAGATTCAGCTCAGGGATAAGATCACTATCCCAGCAAGTGTTGGGTTGGGTCCTTAGCACCAAAAAAAAATTTGAAAATTTTTTTGACATTTTTGTAAGTTATTTTACTTTTAGTTTGTCTAGATTTTATCTACATAAATGTGTCATTTCACTCTTCACTCATTAGAATTCAAAACACTTACTCTTAAATGTTTTTACACTGTACATTAGCCAGGCAAAGTTGTACATGCCTATAACTCCACACTCAAGAGGCTGAGGCAGGGGCATCACCATGAGCTCAAGACGAACCTGAACTATGTGACAAGGACCTTTCTCAAAGGAAAAAAAAATGACATTGAAAACTACATGTAAGTAAGTGAGTTCAAGGGCAACCTAAACTGCATAGTGAGAGACCCTGTGTCAAAAAGACAAAAAAAAAAAAAGCTGCATATAATTTCTGTAGTAGGGGAAGGTTGGAGTGATAGGGACACTTAAAGTTTGTCATTACTTATCACTTCACACTTGTAAATTATGTATACATACAGTTTTTCAATTAACAATAATTTTAAATCTGTATGAATACTAATGACATTAGCTTGTACTACTTAATCTAATTCCTTTACAATTATATATTAATTTTTAACCTCTGCTCTTTAATTAGGGAGACCTAGGAGCCATTGATGAAAAATATGATGTGGCTATTTCATCCTGTTGCCATGCCTTAGACTACATTGTTGTTGATTCTATTGATACAGCCCAAGAATGTGTAAACTTCCTTAAAAGACAAAATATTGGAGTTGCAACCTTTATAGGTTTAGATAAGGTGAGTATTCACTCATAGTAAGCTAGTACCAGATGTTTTTTCCTTTTGAAATGTAACTTTTTCTTTACCATTATTCAGTGAACTTCTGATAAGTTTGGGGAATTATTTTAGCCTGAGTTTTTGGGACTTTTTCCCAGCCAAGCATGGTGGGGCATTCATGTAATCCCAGCACTTCAGAGACTGAGTTCAGAGAATCACTGTGAGTTCAAGACCAGCCTGCACTACATAATGAAACCCTGTCTCGAAAAAGAAAATAGAAATTTTTCCCCAAAAAAGTAGTAACAACTCAAATGTGCATTTAAAACACATGACTAGATAAATAAAGTGTGGTACATATGTCCAGAAAATGAGGTGTCATTTAGTAATAAAAAAAGAATAAAGGACAGGTATATGTTGCAAAATACACTTGTAAACCTGCTACAAAAATGTAGCAAAAGGCCACATTACATGAGGGGAAAAGATCTTGCATTGCCTTCACTGAAGGGATGAGATACACATCCAGGGTTAGAATGAATTCCAGTGTTTGATGAACTGGTAGCTTATATTGACTACATCAACTGTTTTTCTTAGTAAAACCTTTATTAAGATGAATAACAATTGTCATATAATAATTCTTACAGTAAAGTATAGTATTTAATACCTGTCTGTTTAAATGTAGGATGACCAAAAATGCATATTTTTCATTAATTTGTATAAAATAAGAAATTTTAAAAACAATTTTATCAGATTTATTCAGTACAAGAATCAACTGGTTGAAATGATACCTGCCCAAGCAGTGCTTGTGATGTTACATAAATAAATGTGCTGCCTGAGCTTAAGTGGTCAAAGTGTATGGTTTAGTGAGTTGTATAATATTCGCAGTTTTCCAGCCATGGCCATTATCTAAACCCAGATTATTCTCATCTCCCCGCAGGCCTTTCTAGTCAGTCCCTACCCTCTGCCCCACCCCGGCCTATCACTGATCTACTTTGTCTCTGAATTTATCTGTTCTAGACATTTCATATAAATGTAATCATACAAGTTGTGGCTTTTTGCTACAGAACAAGTTTTCGTGTTCATCTATTTTGTAGCGTGTACCTTTTCGTTTTTATTGCTGAATCATGTCCCATTGTCTGGATATATGTGCCACACTTTATCTGTTCATCTCTTGGTGAACATTGGGATTGTTCCTGCTTTTTTGACTACTTTAGCAATAATGCTGCTGTGAATATTCATGTACAATATTTTGTGTAGACACAAGGTTTTGGTTTTCTCAGATACATACTTAGGAGTAGAATTACTAGGTAATACAGTAATTTTGTGTTTAACTTTTTGAGGAATTGCCCGTTTTCCACAGTAGCTGTACTTTTTCCCAGCAGTGTGTGTGTGTGTGTGTGCGCGCGCGCGCGCATGCACGCCGATTCCTTCACATCCTTATTAAGAGTTATTGTAAATCTTTTTTTTACTATAGTTTGTGGATCTGAAATGGTATCTCACTGTGCTTTTTCTTTTGCATTTCTCTAATAACTAGTGGTGTTGAACAATCTTTTTATGTGCCTTTTTGGCCTTTTGTGTCTTGGAGAAATACCTGTTTGAATCTTTTGCCTGCATTTTCATAGATTTATTTTTCTTGATATTGTGGAGTTGTGAAAGTTCTTTTACTCTTTTATTCAAGTCTTTTGTCGGTATATGCTTTACAAGTAATTCCTGCCATTTCTGTGGGTTGTATTGCACTTTTTGATGATGTCTTTTGAAGCACAAAGGTTTTTCATTTTGATCAAGTTTAGTTTTCTTATTTCTTTGGTTGCTGCTCTTTTTGTACTTTCTAGCTTTTACATTTAGGTTTCTTACTCATTCTAGGTTTTTTGCTTGCTTGCTTGCTTGCTTGCTTGCTTGCTTGCTTGGTTTTTGCCATGGTGGGGATTGAGACTTCACACTGCTAGCCACCCAACCAACCCTTTTTAATTTTTTTCATGGGATCTCACAGAATTGCTCAGTCTGGGCTTAAACTCGTGGTCCTTCTGCTTCAGATTCCCAGAGTACTGGGATTACAGGCATGTACCACCATGCTCAGCTTGAATTAATTTTTTTCTGTGATATGTAGGGATCTGGCTTATTTTGTAAGTGAATGTTTAGTTGTTCTAGCACCACTTATTAGAAAGGTTATATTCTCTCCCATTGAATTTTCTGGGCACCTCGTTAAAAAATCCAAATATAAACATGAGGGTTTATTTCTGTACTCTGAGTTTCATCCTTGGGTTAGTATAAGTACATGGTCTCGATCACAATAACTTTGTCATAAGTTTTGCTTGCAGATTATTCATTGCTACTGTATGGAAATACAGTTAATTGTTGCTGAGCTTATTTAATAGTTTTTGGTGGGAATTCTTTATGGAATGTTATATAGAATAGGATCATGATATGTAAAAGAAATAAATTATTAATACTTTCTTTTTTTAACTTTTAGATGGCAGTCTGGGCCAAAAAAATGACCAAGATTCAAACTCCTGAAAACACTCCTCGGTTATTTGATTTAGTTAAAGTAAAAGATGAGGAAATTCGCCAAGCTTTTTACTTTGCCTTACGAGACACCTTGGTAGCCGACAACTTGGATCAAGCCACAAGAGTGGCGTATCAGAAAGACAGAAGATGGAGGGTGGTAACTTTACAGGGGCAAATCATAGAACAGTCAGGTAAGGGTGATCTTTTTCCTCCCGGTGAATTTATGTAATCCGGGGCAAGTCACCTGGTTGACGCCTCTCGTGTTCTCCAGGTACAATGACTGGCGGTGGAAGCAAAGTAATGAAAGGAAGAATGGGCTCTTCGGTTGTTGTTGAAATCTCAGAGGAAGAGGTCAGCATATGTAAAATGGTTGTTAGACTTTCCTTATTTTTATCTTTGCTGAGGCAAAACATACTACAAAATTCAGCCGTGTTAAGTGTATCGTGCTCAGTTTTTAAACTAACATACTGAATTTTCTAGTAATGATTGTATAAATGACTGGGAATATTTATATGAGACGCGTTACTCTGTCACAGATTTACTGCTGCGTTGAATAAGTAGTTTATTTCAAAATAATTCTTTAAGGTATAACAAAGGTTTCTGGTGCCAGTTTTTTTTTTTTTTTTTCCTGTACTTATTTAAAATTTTTCCAGCAAAATATCTAGGAAAAATCACCATTTTCCATTATTGTAGTCAGTATTTATTGGATGAACTTTCTTCTTCCTGAAAATATTCTTAAGTGGGCTGGGAGTATCGATGAGTAGTAAAATGCATGCATGGCATGTGAGGCCCTGGGCTTGACTCCCAGCACAACCTCCTTTAAAGAAAACAGTTCGTAGCTATCCTGGCTATCAGACTTCCCCAAAATGTTGTGCCTTAATTCTGTCTTCCACACCTCTATTTTTACCTCTTTTCACCCAAGTGTTTGAATGCTGTACCTTTATTAAAATAATTGGTTACTTTACAAAATTTAAAGTTGTCTTTCCATCTTACATGACTCAGAAACCTGTTGACCATCCCCTAAGCTTTATTTAACATTGAAGATTCAGAAAGAAGTTTGGGTTTTCTTCATTCTAGATTGACTTGGTTGTCAATCTGAAATTACGGGGCTGGGGATTTAGCTCAGCGGCAAAAGCGCCTGCCTGGCAAGCGCAAGGTCGTGAGTTCGGTTCCCGGTACCGGAGAAAAACCAAAAAAAA